CATTTGGGGCATTCTGTTCTAGTCCCCGGAGTCACCTCATAATGAGGTGGTCTTCAGGGTTATCTGTTGGAAGGGTGGAGGCATTGGGAAATGCTTTGATGAGTCTCTAACTTCTACAAGGTGTCAGGCGCTAGAATTCCTATAAAATAGGCACATCCTTCAACCATACTGCCAAACGCTGCAAAGAAGTTCACCAACACTGTATTTTAAAAGTGATTACTGTCTATTTGGAGGCCTGATTTTTAGCAGTCTTAGAATGCTACATTCTCTATCAGGGTTGATACAACTCGGGGTTTCCTCATCTGCTTTCAGCTGTGCACTCTGGGTTTTGGACTTACTTTCCTTTTGCAAGTCACCCAGGGTGTGAGGACTTCAACCCATCATCTAAAGTTGTCAGACCTTACTCCCTGTAGGTACATGGTCCAGAATCTGAGTCGTCAAAGCTTTGCCACCTCAGGGTAGCATCTCTTCCTGGAATGGGGAGGCCCTCCTTGCCGTCTCCCCGTCAGACTGCCAGTTCTCCCACACCCATGTTAAAGGTCTGCTTATAACCTAAATCCTGACAGTTTCTATATTGGTTAGTCTCTTGGTTCCTTTGTGAACTAGTTGGAATAGGTGATTAAAATACTGACGCTCCTGGCAGCTTATGCGGGAGNATGGCTTTCTTCCCATGTCAATCAGTCTAGATCTATGTCAACATTTTCATGATTAAACAGTAGTCTCTTTTATAGATGTGTGTGCCAAAATGTATCCAATTGGGATACTTCCAATTCTTTGCCACATGTCTGTGGTAGATACCCTTGAAGAGGTTGACCCAGACTTGTTTGCTAAAAATCCCTTTTCACCTGGAATGAGGACCTGACAATCATGTTACTCTCTGACCCTTTCCTACTGGACCAATCGGATAATCTCCCAGAAGTTTGGAAAGATTCATATGCTACATAGTCTCTCTGTTAAAGGAAATGTGCTGAGAGAATCCAAGAAAGGGCCTTGACGCTCCAGAGAAAAAGAGAGTGAGAGAGACTGAAATTGACATTGAAGCCAGCTTGGTTCCTGATGGCTTTCCAATATCCGATTCATGCAACAAATATTTATTAAATGTCGTTTATGCCAGACACTATAATGAGGATACAGTGGTGGGAAGAACAAGGCAGACAAGTTTTTGCTCTCTTACAACTTTAATGAAGATGTAACAAAAAAGATAAATAGGGAATGTGGTAAGAACTGTGAAAGAAATAAGTAGGGTAAGTGATAGAGAAGGGAGATCCAATAAAGCCTTTCAGAGGTGACCTGCTGAGATCTAGAGGGTGGGGGTGACTCAGACAAGACAAAAGCTGGGGAAGTGCTCCTGTGGGAACTGGAGAGGAGGACCTCCTTCTCAGCATGGGGGTGGGGGGGCAGCAGTAGGTGCGAAGGGATGGGAAGTAGAGCTTCCTGTGTTTGAGGGACGGAAAGGAGTTTAGTGTGACTGTCATGAGAGAAGTGGGGGGTGGGGGTGGGAGGATGGGGGAGAGTTAGTTAGGAGCTGGAGGTGAGTGTGTGGATGCAGGGGAGAACCAAAGCACGGGAGGCATCTGAGCTTGAAATGCAGTGCAAGGCCCATGGAAGGCTTCAGCACGTGAGTGTCGTGATTTTATTTAAAAATGTCTTATGAGTCATGGCTATTTTCTGCCCTTGGGCTCTGTTAGATATCCTAGTATCCTTATGTTCAATTCTTTTTTTTTTTTTTAATTTAAGCTGATTTGAGTTGATTTCAGTTACAGTTACTCAAAAGGCTGGGTTAAGGGAACATCCTTGTTGTCTTTGTATATGCAGTCCTGGCCCCTCTCACATCTTTTATTTATGTTTGTTGACCATTTTCCTTTCCTTTTAAAAAATTTCCCCGTCATGATCTTTGTTCCTCTTTCTGTTAGAGTTGAACCTTTTTCCTTATTGTTTTGTAAGGAATCTTTGTATGTTGTCAAGAGTAAACTTTTGTCTTTCATAGTCATCATTTTCCCAGTTAGATGTTTGCCTCTTAACCATGCTCATATTATTCTTTGACATTCAGAAGGTTTTTTTAAGTAACAGCTTTATTGAGATAAAATTCACATAACATAAAGTCACCCTGTTAAAGCATACAATTGAATAATTTTTAGTATATTCACAAAGTTGTGCATTGATCACCCAATTCCAGTACATTTTCATCACCCCAGAAGCAACCCCATGCCCACTAGCACGCACTCCCCACTCTCCTGTCCTCTCCGCCCCTGGCAACCACTGCTCTGCTTTCTGTCTCTGGATTTACACAATCTGGACAATTCGTATCAATAGAATTATAAAGCATGTAGCCTTTTGTAACCAGCCTCTGTGACTTAGCATAATGTTTTCAAGATTCATCCCTGTTGCAGTGGTGTGTCAGAACTTCACTCCTTTTATGACTGAATAACGGTCCATTGCATGCATGCACCACATTTTGTTTATCCTTTGTTAGTTGATGGACATTTGAGTTGTTTCTGCTTTTTAGCTGTTGTGAATAATGCTGCTGTGAACATTTGTGTACATACGAAAGGTGCTGACTTGTATTTGGTCAGGTCAGCATTGCTCTTTCCCTTTGTACAGACTGCAGTCTTTCTTGTCATGCTGGCAGAGCCTTCTCAATGTAGAGCCTATGGAAATACTCGCCTGTCTTTTTAAAAGTATTTGTATGATCCAGTTATTCAATTTCAATCTTTAGTTCATATGAAAATTCATTTTGGTTTAAGATTTGGGAAAAGAATATAAGTGTTCCCGATAGAATCACTAGATGCTCCTTGATAATTTATTAGATAATTTATCATGCCCACATTGATTTGAAACTATGTATCAAAATAAAAAATTCATAATAGGAAAATATGCTTCTGACTTTAGTTTTATTCCATTGATCCATTTATATATTCCTATTGTGGTACTTCACTGTAATTCTGGTAGCTTTAACTTTATAATACAGTTTAGGATCTTTAAAAAATATGCTTTCATTTTTAAAAATGACCTGGTATTCCCCTCAAAACATTTTACTGTATATTATGTCAACTTCTAGAAAGAAATCCAATGGGATTCTGACCAAAGTTGGTTTAAATTCACAAATTTGGGAAAGAAATTTTAATTTTTTTTTT